ACACACACACACACGTAATGCAGGTGTTTCTAAGTCAACCATAAAAACTCAAATCTGCAGTCGGTGATGCACTTTGACATTTATTTGACAGGCAAAAGGACACAGAAAAGCTTTTAAGTGTTTTCTTAATCTTATTTTTATTTTTTAAACATGAACACGATCATAAATTGATGATCGGTACTTAATACTTATTTTTCCCACTGTATATACATAAACATATAATAATACTACTGCAGTGTATTTTTCATCATTCATCATCAGCAAGAAATACTAAAAAAAAAGAAGCCAGTGTAATCTATCAAGTTTCCCAGACGAGTCACAGCAAAGATTCAGCTAAAAAATCATCTGATGTGTTCAATAAACTTATTATCAGATAGAAACATCCTGAATCCTGCGCTGGCTTTCCGTACCACTGTCACCAGATTCGAGTATTTATGAATCATAACTGACCACCAACGTTAAGGCTGAAGTTAATATCATGATTGAATGCATTAACATGATTGTGGATTACAGTAATCAGGGATTTCCTGGCTAAAAATGAGCTTCTGAAGGGTGAGAATGCAAATCACACACTTTTATTAAAGATAAAGATTTAGACAATATTGCAGTCAGCCAGTATTATTATGGATGACTGTGTGTTAGGAGGCAGCTGTCTGCTATTCAGTGGTCACCACCAGCCAACGTGGGGAAGTAGCAGCTGCACACTGAGCATCTCCCACATGACCAAACTCTTACCAAACTCATGATACGTTGAGCCGGCTTTCAGAAGTTCTGTCCCTCTTTTTCTAAATCTTATTGCTTCGTTGCTACCCACAGTTTGTGGATACGGTGAGGTCGGGAACATAGAAGGGAAAACTGATGAACTCCCACTTTGAGCTGAAAGTTCCTGTCCAACTTGGACTGGGGTCTCTGACATTCTCTGGCTCAAAGCTGTGGATGGAAATTTGGAGGACATCAATGAAACCAGCAGCACATATTACATGAAAAGCAAATATGATGCTTAAATAACTGAAGCGTTCACCCCTTTGACTGTCCCACGAAATTCTATCCAAGAGATTATGAATAAGGTTAGTGAGAAACAGCTGCCCTGGGGCTGTTTTTTAATCCAGTATATTGTTTATCACATTTTGTGTTATAACTGCTGGGCTTTGGTTATAACTGCTTTCTTGGGGTTTTAACCAGCCTGGTGTTAGTGTAACTGAATATAGTTTTGGTAAGATTATTTTTAGAGTCGGAGGCTTTAACAGCAGCCAGACATGTCAGCCTCTCACAAGAGGAACAGCAGTGTCCAATGACTAATCCGTCAGCTGAGGACAGCTGAAAGAGTAAACCAATGAAACAGTGTCACCCATTAGGTGAACAAATGGACGGGTTAAAAAAAGCACAGCATGTAACAGAGGAAATGAAGGTGGAGGTTGTTGCTTAAGAAGTGTATATTGCTATATTTTAGTTAGTGTTATTTAAAAGAATTATTCAAACAATGTGTCTGTTGAGGAACAGATTTCTTGAAGTGTTCACTTTTTAAACGTTAAATTGATGCTTTTCTGTAGGAATCATATGATTAAGCCATGCTGACATTGTTTGAAGGGGCAGGGCTCAGAGTTAAAAAGGGACTCACAGAACCAGGCTGAAACACAACAACCCACATTCATCAAGAATCTAATAATCAGATCACATCATACTATATCATCATCATCATGTGGGGACAGTGTGAAGCAAATGTAGCCGATGTTTTACCTGATGGGTACAATGTTGCTGCTGCTGCTGGTGGTGCTGGAGGGCAGGGCTGTGCTGATCTCAGACTGGAGACATTAAGGAGTGCACAGGAGAGATGGGTGCTGATTAAACAAGTGTTATGAGATAATAATAAAATGCAAAGACTGGTGACAGAGCTTGGAACCATAAGGAAACAAAACTGTGGGAACTAAACTCTGCCTGTGAATCACTCTTTGCCTCATCGATCACTCTCCACTTGCTGTCCATCTGAGAATATGACAATTTGCTGTTTCATTAATCTATTATTGAATTATCTTAGCTTATGAAGCTATTACCTCCCAGCTGTACGAGCTCGCTGCGTGTTTTGGAAGCTGCTGCGCTCTTCACAGATAAAGCTGGAAGCAGCTCAGATTGTTAGAACCAGAACTGAGGCCTGTTACATTTATACAGTGTTAGAGCAACGGCTGCAGCCTACAGCCTTTAAACTAGCGATTAAAATGCTGACAGTAAACTTGTCAGTCCAGATGTTACCACATTACTTTGTGGTCCATCTCCAGTCTTAGCAGAGGGCAGTTACACATCACACATGACCCCGTGCTGCGTCATGTGTGATGTGTCATCATACGAGGACATTACATTTCAGCTTTTCTGCATCTTGATTCTGCTCAATTAAGTGTTTTAAACTTGGACAAAATATGGCAGCTTTGTGTTGTGCTGCAAGTTAAACCCAGTGTCCTCATGAACACAGCATCGAACAACTTTCCTTTAAAAAATCGATTGAATTTAACTGGACACACTGGTTTTCAGTGGGAGAAAGATTCATCACTCAAGCGTGACACTGGAGAAGTCACCTGCATGAGTGATAAAACTCTTTTCCATGGAAACATCCAGAGGAGCTAAACTTTTGAGTATGTCCTTGCCTGTGTTTCAATCATCAAGAGATGTTTTATGTATACGTCTTTTTTCCTCTTGGCTTAATTTCAGCCTCAGCAGCATCTCTCAGAAGAAAACCGCTGTAAACTTTCTGCCAATCATCAGACAAAAAAGTAAATATATCATGTTCATTCTTTCTAATCATCTGTCCTTATTGCTTCCGTATACTTCCACAAACTCTGGGCTATTTTTGCTGTTCAAATTTTAAAATATTCTGCTCTTTCCCTCTATATCTTTTGGTATTTGTAAGTTCTATACTTGTTAAAGTATTAAGCTTTTTATGACTCTTTTCTGTTGTCCTCTCAGATTTTAAACTTTTTTTTTTCGTCATATCTCTGAGATGGATTATTGTAGAACAAGAAAATTGGCATGATTGTTCACTGTCAATGAAACAGGCCTTTCAGAATGAACTGCTCATTGGTTTCCATTTCATAAATCACATTTTAAAGTTTAACTGCTTACAACATCTGTCAAGAACAAAAACAAACCCTTCATATGTGCGTGCCATATTACATTTTATTTTTTAAGAAAACATTTTCTTAGATCCAGATATATACAAATACTCTCAAGTACAGTCAAAGTCAAATAAAATAAGAAAAATATGAAATCTAAGGTTTAAAAATGAATGTTTCCTGTCTCATTGGAAGGCTTTGAGTTTTTCTACATGTGTTTCTGTGTGTTTAAGTGAGTTTGTGTCTGTAAGCCTTTAAAGGAGAATGTGGAGGCTGCAGTGAAGAGAAGGGAGCATAACAGCATCCTGGAGTTTGCCCTGTGCAACGTTTCTGTGCTGCTGAAAACAAGATGTTATGATGGTGTAGACTTTAATTAATATTAATAATAAACCACTCAGGTCAGAGGCTCAGTGTTTTACCAGTCCTGTACACTTTTATTGGCTTGTGAAAAAAGCTTTATTTTTATACTTTAAACATTAATTCTATTAAATTGAGATGGCAATTTAAATCATTTCACTTGAAAAAGGTTTGAAAACCTTGAAGTAAATACGGTCTAGTACACCTCGTGTAGACTCAGCCCTGTTCGCTTCAGCTTTTAGAAACCCTTATAATTGAAACATGGTATCAAAGTTAACAGTTCACCAGAGTATTTTAATACAACTTCACGTCGTTTGTTGATCAGGTGCTTTGATGAAGGACTCCTGCTTGCTTTTTCCCAGTAAAGGTTTTAATGGTGATCACAGGGACAGCGCTGCTGTTTCGCCCAGCTTGACATCAGCATCTCGGTCCACCCTCTTTGCTCTTCGCGGTGTGTAAACAGACTCCGGCTCCACGTTAAACTGTTTCAGTACTGCACTGCAGGTCCGGTCAGGTGCTGAATCTACATCCACACTGTTTACAGTCCCAGCGAGAGGTGAAGCATGTAGAGGCAGGTGTCCCGTACTGGGCTCCGGCTCTGTCTTCCTAAGCCAGGGGATCAGCAACCTTTGAGCCCCAAAGAGCCATTTGGACCCGGTTTCCACGAAAAACAAACACTATTAACATGTTCATTTATTCTGATTTTCTCACAATGGTATCTTAAAATATATTTTTGTAAAAAGGTAACAAAGAAAAATCCAAATAGCATTTATGATTTATTTCAGTATCATTCTGTGAATTCAACAATCAGACAGCATAAAATGTTTGACAACTTTAGAATAATTTTATTATAAAATACAAGTAAATAACTTTTAAAAGTAGCTGTTAAGTTCAAACTAAAGCTGTCCGGGCTGTGCATCACACCTGAACCTCAAACTAATGTTCAGAACAAAGTGTCTGCAGCTGCATTTTAAACCTTACTTCACACACGTTCAGTGTTAAAGTCATTTTAGCCTCATGTTTACATCTAAGATCAAACTGTGACAATTTTCCATCAATCAGCTTATATGACAAATGACTCATGATTAATGTGTAACAGAAAATGAGACGAGATGATGTTGAATGTGTGATGTAATCACTTTCTCCGCTCTTATGTTGACAAATGAATAACTATAAAAACAGCAAACTATCATAAATCTGGGATTTCAGTGTTTGTAAAAATGTAAACTTGTACAAGTTAATTCGCTGCTCTACGCACTGACAGTGATTTGATGAAACAGGAAATGAACTGGAGGGCCAGTCAGCTGCTTCAGGTGCAGCTCTCAGATTTCAGGGTGTTGTCTAAACCAGCTTCCTTCCCCCCGGGACGCTTCCTCGAGCTGGCCACACATATTTACACACAAATACACACCACGAGTTGACCTTTGACTTCAACATGAGCCTGAGTAAGCTCGGACTGGAGGACTGTGGGAAGGCACTGCAATGTATTTCAGGGTTGGAGCAAACATTTAGTGGCACTTCCCCTCAGACTGGCCAATTGTGACACTTGTTCTGCATTAATCAGTGTCCAAGCATCACAGCTGCTGTGAACATTGCATCCATGATCCTTCAGTTTTGCAGAGTGACAATTATTTTATTAATATTAGTACTCAGTATAAATGGGTACACCTTACACCTGTGCAATTTATAAATACATCTTGGTAATCAGGGTGGCCACCTTAATAAGGTAGTGTTAAAAAAAAAATTGTCACTTTTGGATCTAGAAAAGACAACATGATGGCCCAGACTCACCTGAGCCACTCTGACTCAGGGGAGTCTGGGTTTATGCTCGAGGAAGAGCTGCGCATTAAAACAAACAAATATAAATAAGCGGCATTGTTGGACTGTAAACGTTTATCAGCTTTTTAAGCTTCGTGGCTGTAAGAAGTGCTGTTGTTATTACATGACTGTATACAGAAATAATGGTACGAAAATGAGACAAAAGTATTAAAGTGCCAGCATGTGAAACATGACCAGTATAACCACAGAACAAAAACAGAAGAATAAATATGCAGAAACACTGACAATAATTTGAAAAGTAAGAATTTCTTTGCTTTGTGTGATGCAGAGAAAAGAAACCATGAGGTCACAGAAGAAGACCAAAGTAATGTCTACGATGCAGCAATAATCACCAGAACTGTTATTAAATCGTGTTAATTCTGTGTAATTCTAACAATGCAGAAAAGGTTGTTTTGGCTTTAATAGCAAGAAAAGCAGGTGTATGTGCATTATTTCCCGTTGTATTCTGATTGGCTGGTTTTAATTAGTTGCTTTGAATCCTCTGACAGGAAGAGCTCTATTTGGATGAGTACGAGGCAGAGCCTATACTTTCTATTGTAAATGAGACAGCAGGTCTCAGTGGGACTGCCTGTATAAATAAAGGTTAAATAAATAAACATGAGGTAAAGAGCTCACAGAGAAGAGACCTGAATGTTCAAGACGGCTCTACCTCTCAATTTAATGAGTGTAAAGTAATTAAGAACATTTGGTCCTGAATTTTCACAGCTGGCTGAAGGACATTCTGAGCTCCTCCTCCCTCATGCTACGATCCAATCGCTGTGTCTCAGACTCTAGGATGGATGGGATTGGATGTTGTGTGATAGTTGCTAGTGAATCACTGAGGTCAAGTCTCAGAGAGAGCACTGACTGGCTGTTTCGGGAGGACTGCTGAATGAACTCTGCCCTTTGTTGCTGACCGACAGCCAGTGCAAACTGGAGCTGCTTCACCTGGAGGAGAGGAGAGACATCATCAGCACCCACCTGACATCAGAACACCAGGAAGTCATTTTGGTGCTGTGCACTCACCTGGTCCTGCAGCTCCCTCACTTTGCTCCTCAGTTGCTGCTCTTCTGTGGTGGTTAAAGACCCCTAAAACACACAATAGGTTTGCAACCACACGTGCCTCTATTGACATTTGTCACAAACACACACCTCATAGTCTGGAAAATGCACTTACACTAACACAACCTGTAATTATTACTGTAATAAGGGAACTGTGTGTCTCACCTGGATGCTCTCACTCAGCTGCTGTCTGAGCCTCGAGCGCTCTTCCTCCACCTGAAATACACAATAATGTGTACTCACGTCAGTGTGTCTGCTGTGTATCTGGATACCTTTCTTAGTGTTGTGTGCCTCAGTATGCCAAGGTGGTGTCTCTGCACATTGAAATCTGTCTCGTCCTAGGCTCACACTGGGTCTGTGACTCAGACTTCTTTTGCCCTTTGTTTACACCAGGAGCAAATATGGTGACCAGATTATATCCTATATCAGAACATAGTTTGACCAGATTCTCTGTGCTGCTCCTGGGTCCTAGTTCTTGCCACTTTACCTTGCTGTGTGCAACTCGACACTTCTTGTGTTAAAAATAGATCCAACACTATTTTACGTGACGTGGAGCAAAGACACGGCAACGTTTCTTTAAAGCTCCGCATCACATCTGTGGTTGCAATCAACTCAGGTCACCTAAGACAAACTGCATCCTGCTGTGTCACTGTGGCTTAATGTAGAAGTGTACACAGCATCTCTCTGGGTGCGTGCACGTGTACCTGTCTCATTGTTGTGTATACCTGTTGCAGCGTCTCTCTCAGTGTGTGTGTCGCTCTTTTCAGTTTGTCTTTCTGATTTGCCAGATGAAAGTTTTTCTTGTTCAATCGTTTCTGATCCAGTTCCAGTTCAGCCACCAGACTCTGCAGGACCGTCAGTCTCTCCTTCAAACCCTGCAGACACATTTTCCCCACACAGCTCCACTTTACAACCCGTTTCCTGTCGATGCACTTTGAGTACAGCTGCACTGACAGCCTGACCACAAACTGACCTCTGTATCAGACGTGGCCACTGGGCTCTGCTCCTCCTGCTGGGGTCTCCTTTTATAGCCCACCAAAGCTGCATCTGTTTGCTGTGATCCAGCTAATCCGATTCCATCCCGGTCCTCCATCTCCTCTGTGCTCTGACTCGGAGTGTCCACCTGCACATCAGCAATAAAAACAGTTACATTACAATGTCAAATTAACAGAACAGCGTCATAGCGATTACATGCAACCCATATACAAGATGACGTTATTTATAATAATGCTTAAGCTCAACCCCAGATCTTTGTGAACTTATGTAGCACGTTTTCAGCTCAGAAGCATTTAACACCCTGTGATCAACTTCAATAAAATCCTTGATAACACAAGTTTGAATGATCAGTGTAGTGGGGCAGTGCTATTATTCACAGTTTGATCTGATAGCAGAGTTCAGGCATTGAACAAACACTATACGAGGACTTACACATGTTTTAGGCTTCAGTTAGAGAATTCACTCATTAACAGGTATAACCTGTTTCTTTGTTGCTTCTTGTAAAGAGTCTTGAGATCATTCCAGGTTGCATTTGTAAAAAACAATATCTGGATAATATCTGGATGGACAGCTGGAATCATGATGGGTGGGCATGTGGTTTTCACTGGCACTGTATCACTGGTGTTTGTTGCTGTGACAGAAGACAGGAACACGGGAGAGTGCTATAAACTACAGATCGACGACCCAAAACTGTAAAACATGGGATCCCAGCCTGTGAACCGCTTCAGCACAAGCTGGAGGTCGCCAAGGCGACAGAACCACATCGTCCACAAAAGCAAAGACGAAATCCTGAGGCCACCGAGGGGGAGACCCTCCACCACCTGGCTATAGCTACATATTCTGTGCATAAATATTATGAACACAATCATGACAAAAGGGAGCCTGACAGAGTCAAACACCCACCAAAAATGAAACCGTCTTACTGTCGGCAATATGAACCAAGCCCTCGCTATGGTTGTACAGGGACAGAGTGGCCCGTAACAACAGGCCAGACATTTCATACTCCCAATAGGACACTGCCTAAGAAATGCAGTCAAGTACTGAAATGCAGCCAGATGTTTGCTCATTGCACGTTTTCACGCCTTCCTTCACTATTTCCCGACACGCTTGCTCTCCCGTCTTTCTACGTATCTGGCCTGTACACCTACACTTGGTGTCTTTTGGAAAGTCAAACCATTTGAGATTCCATAAGACTGGTAATGGTATGATCCCAGTTTGTCTGTGCATCTGATTGGCCACATGGTGAGCCTATCAAAATAAAGTCCCACCCCTGCCTGCATGGATTCTCAGCAGTGATGAAGATCAGGCTCGCTGACGTGTGAAATCGTCTCTCAGGCTGGATGTGATTGTACATCCTGTGTTCAGTCATGCACAATGCTTTAGTCACAATAACTCCAGCGTTCAGTTCAGCGTACAGACGACAAACGGTGAGTACACGAGGTTTACTTTAACGACAGCACGTTGTTCTTCTTACTGATATATGGTTTGTGTTACTGCTGGAGCTGACAGAATACTGGCCCGCGGGCTGTATGTTTGACACCCCTGCTGCAGAGGGTTCAAGCAGTTTGACCTCAGGCTGGTTTCTTCAGTTCAAGCAGTATCACTGTCAGGATGACTGTGTTTCTACAGTGTTTGTGTGACTGACAGACTGAAGTACCTGCAGGGAGTTTCGCACCATCACCTCCACGCTCTGCTTCACTCCTCTCAACTCCTCCTGAGGAAAGTCATCTTTCGTCTCTGTCAGCTTATCGTTTTCCATCTCCTGCACGTCCTCCTTGAGAGCTGTCACCTCTTCCTCCGTCCTCCGTAGCTTCTCCTTTATCTGCTCCTTCTCATTTTGTTCTTTTTGCAGCTCTTTTTTAATAACCAGTAACTCCATCTTAGTCGTCCTCAGCTCTTCCTGCGTCTCCTCTCCCCACACCTCTCTGAGATATTGTGCTTCTTCTCTCCAGTTTAACAGCTCATCTTGTGCCTCCTCCTTCCTTCTTTTCTCCTTTTGTACCGCCTCCCTAAGCACCGACATCTCTAGATTGCTTCTCTCCATCTCCTTCTGCACTTCCCTCCTAAGAGTCGACGCCTCCTCCTCCTCGGTGTCCAACAGCCTTGCTTGCTGCTCTTTCGCTCTCATTGGTCCATCAGCTTCTTTTCCCATCTCTATCGATTTATCCTGCAGACGTTTCTTCTCTTCCCTCAGTATCATCAGCTCATCCATTTCTCCTTTCGTCGTCTCCTGAACCTCCTTTAGCGTGTTCTCCAGTCTCCTCTTCTCCTCCACCGTCTTCCTCAGCACCTCTCTTTGGACCTTCATGTCACTTTCTACTTCAGACAGTTGTTCCTCCAGCCTCTTTGTCTCCTCCCCAGCTCTCCTAAGTGCTTCTCTCTCTTCCTCGGCCTCCCTAACTTTCTCCTCTAATCTCTTCTTCTCCTCCCCGACCTCCATCAGCTTACTTTGCAGTCTCCTCGTGTTTTCTTTCTCGGTTCTACTTAGTGCCTCCCATTCTCTTCTCTCCTCGTCCTTCTCCTCCAGTATAGCTCTTAACCGCTGCACCTCCTCCTCTTGCTCCACACAGATATGGTTAAGCTTTGTAGCCTCACTCTCGCTGTGTTCTGCCCTCTCCTGCCACTCCTTTATCTCCACCTGCAGCCTGTCACGGGCTTCCTCCATTTCTCTTACTCTTTTCCTTGCTCCCTCGCTCTTTGTCTGTCCCTCCTGTAGCTCCCTAACCTGGGAGGAGATCGTGTCATCTTTTTCCATACCTTTCCTACTTCCTCTTACCTCCTTTTGCTTTAGTCTGGCATTCACCTCTCGATGGTCCCTCTCTCCTTCCTCCTCCCCCTCCTTCAGATGTTCCCGATGTTCCTCCCCTACTTCTTCTCTTTCCCTCACCTGTAATTCCAGGCTCTGCTGCTTACATTTCGCCTCTGCCTTAAATTCATTAAACTTCTCATTGGCCACATTCAGCCTTTGCCTCATCAGCTCTGCCTCCGCAGCTTTCTCCTTTAGCTTCTCGAGCAGCTTTGCAACCACCTCCTCCTTCTCCTCGAGCAGTTTGTCTTTCTTTCTCCTTTCATCCTCTTGTGATGTTGAGATTTCTTTTTTCAGTCTGTTAATCTCCTCCTCTTGTTCTTCCACTCTCACCCTCCATCTGTCCCTCTCAGCTTCTGTCCTCAGCTGGTCCGCCTTCTTCTCCCTTTCCTCCTCCCTTTTCAATCTCCCCATCCGCTCACAGAGGGCTTCCACTTCTCTGTCCCTCTGCTTCGTCTCCTCTCTTCTCCTCTCCTCCCAAAACTCCTTCTCCTCTCTCAGCCTTTCCTCTGTCCTCTTTACCTCCTCTTCCAGTTCCTCCTTCTCTCCTTCTAATCGCTGTACTCTTTCTATCGTGAGGTTGATTCGAGTCTTCATCTCTATTACCTCCTTCCTCATTTTCTCCTCTTCTCTTTGCCTCTCCTCCACCTCCTCAGTTAATCCCTTAATGCAATTCCTCAGCACCTCAGCTCCTCTTCTCCCCGAGTTCTCACTAAAGAAACTCCTTTCTTCCTGTTCGGTCTCCGTCTCATCCTTCCTCTCCATTTCCTCCCTCCTTCTCCTCCTCCTCAGCTTCTCTATCTCCTCTGTCATCCTCTCCATGTCCTCTTGCAGTGCCTTCCTCTCCTCCTCACTCATCTCTCTCCTCTTCTTCTCATCTTCTACCCTGGACATCATCTCCTCCAGCTCGCCTCTCAGACACTGGATCTCCCCTTTAAAAAGACAAAAAAAGTTTTAAATACAACTAAAGTACTTTACATGAAAATCACTGTTGTTCCTATTAATGTCAGCACAACTGCTATGTTTCACTTGAGTGTGTTCACTGGGATGATTTCATTCACACTGCATTTAATCAGAGTGTGTGTGGACGTTAGAAAGTTTGAGACATGTTGTCCTCAGAGCTATCGAGTCAATCCTCACAACTCTGTCCGAGGAGGAGAGCAGCTGTGGTCTCGAGACAGGCTGCTGGGAACAGTGGGAGACTGGAGGGAGACAGGACTGTGATCAGCACACTCAAGCCTGCTGCTGTCTGAGGAGTCTAAACCTGTCAGGTTGCTTGTCCCGTGGGAAAGCTGCTTAGAGGAGGCTCAGGAAAGAAAGAGGGGAAATAAGCAGACCTGGTAGCCAACTGTTGGAGGCAGGGGTTAAAGCCATGCTGCAAACCTGTGGAGGTGGGGTGTAGGGGCTCTGGGGCCAGTCACTACAACGAGTCCTGTGAAGCAATAAAGCCATCAAACATCTGAGAAGCTGGTTGAAGAGAGGCAAGTCAGAGCTCGGTCACCCTGGGAGAGAGCCTCTCTAAGATGTCTTTTAATACTCAATCATGTTGCCAATTAAGCTAAAACCTTTGGTGCTATTTGTTTTTCAGCCTTTTGATGCCACCTTTGTTGAGATGTGTTACCGACTAATAGTGGTCTCAAAACAGGCCCATTTTCTCAGTTCAAACATGTTTAATGTTGTGAATAAAATGTTTTGGTTTATGAGATCTGCATTCTGTTTTTATATCTTCATCACTTTTTTGGAATTTGGTTTGAACTGCCACCTTTATATGTTTTCATTATTCTTAAAGGTTTAATATTATGACTTTAGGCGTACTGTCACTGACCATGTAAGGTATCTTTGGCCTGCTTCAGAGTGTGGATGTGTGTGTTCAGCTGACATTTTTCGACCTCTGACTGTGAGAGACGCTTCTGCTGCTCACTGAGCTGCTGGTGGGCAGACAGCGACAGAGACCTGCAGGCAGAGAGAAACAGGATGTCAGTATGATGCGACCCGTACAAACAAACCCTGATTTTATTTCGCATGCTCAGCACCGGATCTCCTGCAGATCAACTTCGAGCTGCTCCTTGTGCTTCTGCAGACTATCCAGCTCCTCTTGTAGCCGCCTACTCTCTCTGAGCTGCTCCTGCTGTTGTATGCTCCTATTTTTCACCTCCTCCATTGCGTGCCCCAGCCGGTCCTGCACCTCCTTCAGCTCCTCACACATTGCGGCATGCTGAAAGGACAGGTCATCCACCTGCTGTTCACCCACAGAGGGAAAGCTCCCATCTTCCTCTGGCTCTCGTCCTCTCAGCTGCTGAACAGCATCTTCCTCAGCCTCTCTCTGTACTCTAACAGACACAGCACAATTCACACTAATTATTCAGGATTGAAATCAAATTAACTTTACTGTTCTGGCCTGACGACTTGGGTGCAAACTGATCTCACCTGAGCTTGCTGAAATCCATGTTTAGGGTCTTGACTTCCCTCTCCAGGGAACTGACTTGTGACCTTTGAGCCTGCAGCTGTGATTGGCCCTCTGACAGCTCAGACTCCAGCTGGTAACAGACACGTGAACTGACTTACATGATGTACTAAAGCTGGAAGCCACAGAGAGGGGCATGTAGGGAGGAGTACCTGCAGCAGCTGTTTGTGCAGCTCTCTCTTGTCTGAGGCCAAAGAAGAGTTCAGGGTGGACAGCTTGTCTAGCGCATCCCGTCCCTCCTCCACCTCCCGTCTTAACGTGCCCTCTTGCAACGACAGACGCGACACGCACTCCCTGGACTGATGAGACAAAGATGGCAGCCAGAGCGTCATTCTATGCAAATGAGCAAAGCTACGAGTCTTCCTCTGAGGACAGACACGTTCTCGGTGTCATGTCTGTACCTTCTGTAAGGCATCTCTCATATCAGAAGAGTCTTCCTCGGCTCGCTGCTTGTCCAGCTGCTCCCTCTCTAGTGCTCCCTGCGAGAAAAGAGGACGACGACACCAGAAGATGTTCAGCTGTTTTAAATGATGCACTACTTATTTTAGTGACAACAGTTTCTGAAGAGGACCATTTCCTGCTGTGTGCTAAATGGAAGAAAAGCTAAATCGCCCACAATACGATAGTTTCACAATATATGATTGCGATTTTTAACATTTTGCAGTAAGCGTAGTATTTGAATCACATTTAATGTGATTTATCACCTTTTTCAAACAGCCAGTCATCAGTCTGTAACTGAACGGGGTCCGACTGGCAGGTCTGTCATTCTATGCTGGATGGTTTTTGTTGATTTATGCCACGTTTGCTGGGCTAACGTTCTCTCAGAATGGTGACGCAGGAGTTTATTATGATTTTCATTGACTGATATTTGGTCTCCACGTAAAATATCACATCACTGCTCTGTCTCAGTTCAGGTATAAAAACTGCTTGAGTGACTGAGCCTGTTTACCTTCAGACTATACATTTCTGCTTGGGTCAAAGTCTCCCGCTTTGTTAGCTGGATGTTCTCCAACACCTCAGTCTCAACTCTGAAACAAAACCAGTGCATTGCTGATGAACCAGTAAAGCACAGTGCAGTGCAGTGGTGACCTATGCTGAGTACCGTCTGCGCATTTCTGTCTGCAGCTGTCTGTTTCTCTCTTCCTGTTCGTCTTTCTCCTTTCTCAGTCTGTGATGTTCTCTCCTCAGCTCTTCCTCCCTCCTCTGCAGCTCCTCGACCTGCAGACGCAGGAAGGACGACGTCTCCTTCTCTCTGTCACACACATCGGTAAATACAGAGCTGTCAACTCTGTCAGTGTCGTTCACTATTTCATTTACAAGCATGAATTACACAAAAGTGTAGCATAAAGTCTGAATTGATTTTCTCTGTGTGAACCTGCTCAGTACGTCCATAATGTGGCCGAGCTCCTGCTGCTGTTGTTGTTTGTGTGTGTGTAGCTGCTGGTTGTCGTCCTCCAGCTGCTTCAGTCGCAGGTGCAGGGCTGCTCTCTGCTCACCGAGCTGCTGCAGAGATCGCTGTGCCCCCTGACACGCACACACGCGCGCACACACACACACACACACACTAAGGCTTTTGACTAGCACACACATAACCATACTGATTCAGACTGCAGGCGTGCGTGTGCCGCTTTTTGACTGTATAATGAACATCAGGCTGAGTAACTTTAGACATCTAAAATACATTTGCAATATTTTAAATGTGATAATGATTTTTTATTTCATTTAATTTATTTAAATTGGTTAAAATTAAGGAGCTGTCCTACAACAAAATTATGCTTTAATACAACATTAAGGGAAAATTGAATTTATCAGAAATGTGTGAAAATGATCATTTTCAGTTACAATGTAGCCGTCCGTACTTGTTTGAAGCGCTGTCATGTCGCTTTAGGATCAGCTGCACAGCGCTGTCCACACAGACTTGTTTTGTCTGGGAACCATGAACATCAGTGTAACACACTACAGCAGAGTCTGGGCCTAAACAGACAACTCCTTAAGATGATGGACTAATCCTGGCAGTTTGCACAGCCAACACTCAGTAACATGAAGTTTTGAACAGTATACACAATTTTAACTACTTCAGTACTTTGATGTTAAAACCTGCACTTTGAAGTATTTCACATGACAAATACACACTTTCCAACAAACTGGTGTGAAACTGTGAAAACCTGTAGACAATCAGGGATCAAGAGGCAGATATTGTGGCTACACTGACACATTAATCATAAAAACAGTAGTGACTTTGCATATAAGAACTATATTGTGTTGTTTACCTGTAATTCCTCATTTCTCCACTGTAGGGCGCTCTCAGTCTGAGACAGGACGGAAAGCAAGCAGGACAAATCCAGGCTAAGGACACCCTCTGAGGAGATGTTCAGCGACTGACTGCTGGCTGAGGTCAGGACTCTGGACTGAACACAAAGTAGAACACAAGCTAACTTCAAATGCTTCACTTACTGCTGCTGACAGAGGCTCTTAGAGCTTCATGTAGACCAGCCATCAACACGAACTACTGCAAGAATTCAATTATATTGCTATAGTGCCAAATCACAACAACAGCCGCCTCATAGACTGTATATTGGAAGGTAAAGACCCTACAATAACAGAGAGAAACAGCCAGAGATTAAAAATAACTCCGTTAAATGCAGAGTGGTGTATAAACACATGGTGAGAGAAGAATGCTCATTGCATCATGGGAAGTAGAGCCATGCATGGGACTACTTTACCTCTGAGCATTACCCTCCTGTCCGTTTGTCACTCCCACAATATTTGTGTCCAATCCTGCCCACACTCGCAGACTCGTCATAGCTTCCACGTGACATGAGAGCTACTGGGACATGCCCACCTGAAGGGCAAAACGGTATTGCATCCTTTGCCCTCCAGGGATCCTTCAAACATCTTTTAGTTTAAATTAGCAAAAGTGACAGACAGCTGCTGAGCTGCTGGATGCACTAACTGACGCTCGTTTACAGCTGCCAGAGGGAACACAGAGTATGGCACCCGTATGTGAACACAGTTCTCCTAACCCCGCCTTACGGGCCAAATCGCACCAATCCTTGCTTCTCCACAGCAACCCTGTGGTGGCTCATTCAAACTGCAGGAATGATTTACTGTCGTCGGAATAATACTCTGTCAACTTCACTGTTATGACACAACTTTTCAAACCCTACACAGTAAATATCAAAGTCAACTAAACGTAAGACGAGTGCGAGTTCATTGAAGCTAGCTATGTAGCGCTAACCTGTGCTTCAACAGTGAACAACCTCTTGTTCTTCGTCTCCTACACAGTGGCATTGTTTACCCATCTAGGTTGAAAACACACAGCTGTCCACACTTTGAAAGCTTTAATCCTGGCATCAATATAAGGGGAGCATTTCTCTACAAGATACAGGTAGATGTCCCAGAACTAGAGCTCTGGGAGAGACGTCATCACTTTCAGGGATTTAAATAAAGCTGGGTCACCTGATCCAGCCCCAACTTCAAACTTTGTCAAAAAAGCCTAATCTTAAAAGTACAGATGGGGTCTGTCTCCTGAATCCAAGCTGCGAGTTTCTTCTGCAGAAGAGGGACCTGAAAGTTCAAGGCTCTGCCTCCCATTCTACTTTTGAACATCCCAGGAACCACAAGTAAGCCTGCAGTGTGGGAGCGAAGTGATACAGCACCCTGAGGACAACCTCATGGTGCTCTCCCAGTGTGGTGGCAAGATTTCCATGTGTAAGGTCTCTGGAGGTCTCTATGCCTATAAATGGTGAGTGTAAACTTTAGTTTGGTCAGACAAGACCAAAAATGAACTCTGTAGATGCCGTAATCCACCATGTTTGGATGTCAAGGGGCACCGCATATCAGCCCCAAAACCCCAAACCCACAGTGAAGTCTAGAGGTGGGAACATCTTGTTTGTGGGCTGTTTTTCAGCATACAGCACTGGCATGCTTCATAGAGATGAATATATAATAAATAGTAAATTGTTTTAGCAAAACAAACAGCTGAGGACATTGAGTTGGTTTCAGAGATGATGTTACAGCTGGCCGGCCAATCAGCTGACCTGAATCCAAATGAAAATCTCTGAACTCTGCACTTGAGTTCTTTTTACAACCTTCAGGATTTAAAAAGCTGTTTGTAGAACGCGTCAAAAATCCCACCTGAGCAATTTCTCCATACAAAAGGTGTCTTGAAGCTGTCGTCACCAACAAAGCATTAAATACATTTCAGTATTTAATATTTTCCCCTGTGTCATTTCTCATTATTACAGATTAATGTATGAACATCTATGGTTTGATGTCTTTGAATATTGGATGGGTTGTTACTGGTTGTTACTGGCCAACACCCCCTTCAGAAATAGACTGACTGATAAAACTGGTGACGTGTTCAATAATAACTGTACTCATGTAACAACAGCAGTGATCCAGTTTCTATTTGACTTCGTTAAACAGGACAATAGAAACGCTGTCCTTGGACATCTGACCAACATAACACACTCACCAGTTTGATCACAGCATGGCTCACAGACTGCAGGCTTCTCTGTATTACTCTATGTCTCTCGGCCTCCCTCTCGCTCTCCTCCCTCAGACTGACCTCGGTCTGCAGTGAGCCAGTGAGCGCCTCAATTCTGGCAAAGAAATGAGAATGATCGAGAGGAGAACAGAGGGAGGTGCAGGATGTGTTTGAACGTCTGGTAGAAGCTAATTTACCTCTGCTGCAGCTGTAAAACTTGAGTCTCCTGAACAGACTTCACCTCTGAAGTGCCTTGCTCGTCCTCGTCCCTCCTTCCCTCATCCTTCTCCTCTTTGAGTTCCAACTCTCCCAAAGAAAAGATTCGCATTGTGGATGAGAGGAGAGGAGGTACAGAAGAGTTCGGAGGACAAAGGGCCAGATCGGAGGACGGAGGAGGAGAATAGAATGAAAAGGGAGGAAAGTGGGAAGCGAGAAGAGGGGGAGAAGCGGAGAAGGAGAGAGGATTAATGTAAAGTGTGCTGAGCCTCAGAGAGGAGGAGACAGAGTCACAGCTGGAGAGGAGAACGGATGAGAGGCGAGAAAACTCGGCCTTCAGCTGCCACAGGTCCCTGCAGACACAGACAGGTGGGTCAGCATGTTTACAAGCTCAGGTTGGTCATTTTGAAAACGGTCTGAACCCTGTCCTCTTCTAAAGTTCTCTCTTCTTTAGGGTCTTTGAATTCGTCTGAATGCTGATTGGTGGTGCTAATAACTGGACCAACTGTAGAGACGGTCCTCTGAGTGAAGCAGCCTTGCCTCAGACGTACCTGTCAGCAGCCGTTTTCATAGCGTGGCAGTCCCGTCTCAGAGCAGCCACAGATCTCCAGATAGACAGCAGCCAAGCCTGCTGCTCCCCCACAAGACACAGCCGACGCTACACACACACACACACACACACACACACACAAATATTGAAACACAATAACTGCCATCTGAATGGTCACTTTCAAATTCAATTAAACTGCAGACCTCTCGCTCTTTCTGCAAATCAGCCTCTCGCTGCTCTGCCTCTTCCACAGCTGTCATCCAATCATTCGTCAGCTTCTGGAGGTCCTCCTTCAGGGCGTGGTTGGCCTGCTCTGATTGGACAAGTTGCTTGCAAAGGAGACTATTGGTGTCACCTAAACTGACTGACCTGAGGAGGGAGACACATATAATTTATTAAATCAGCAGCTTCAAATAAAACCACAAACTTCTTTTTTAAACTGTCATGAAAAAACTGACAATATTTGTGTAGAACAATCACAATTATAAGCGAATTTCATTAAATGAAACAGCTATAGCAGTAATTCTGGCTCTGGGTTTGATAAAGCCTTTTTAAATACAATAAAATGATGTTATGACTTTTGGCCACTAGAAGAAAACCTGTAACAAAGATGAAGGACTGCAAGCTTCAGTGGATGGATGCACCTTTACTCAGACAAAGCTTTGGAGAACTTCAATACAAATGGTTCCTGTGTTTACTTTTCAAATAAACAGACGCATGAAAGTGGAATTTCATTCATGTTTCAGGAGGAGAAGCTCCTCCAGTGACCGAGGAGCAGACTGACAGACACGAGACTCTCTTAGTGTCCTTATGCATGTAGCAAGAGAATTAAACAAATGTTTCCTTAAAGTGAGTAACAATACACGTTTATGTAAAATAGCAAAAAGCTACATTTAAATATTGTAATATGATCTCCTATCAAGAGCTGAATTTACCACATGAACTTTTTTCATTCTAACCACACAGACGTGTATAAAAACTACACTGAACTATATAATAAATGTGAACTAACATCAGGTTGGTCCTGACAGCTTTGTTCCTCAGCTTCTCTGTACTTTGACATCGCTTGTTGTGTTCTGTAAAATTCAGTATTCAGACCAACATGAACACTGATGAACAAATAAATGTACAATGCCTGAGGCTGGCATGGAGGAAGCAGCAAAATGATTTGACAGTAATTAGCACTGACAACTTTGCAGAGTTTCACTTTTGGTGCACAGCTGCATGAAAACATTTTCACAATTTTGAAATGATGAGAACTTCTGAAACATCTTAAAAGCAAGAACAATAAATAGTTGTTGATGCTGCACTGCTTTTATCCTCTGGGGTCAAAATGATCCCAGTTATTTAAACTATACAGTATAAATTGTTAATGCTGTGTTTCATGTTCTTCTCGTTTTGCAGTTTGGAGCCTGCAGACCTTCTACACAGACACCCTGTTTTTGACTGAAAATAACAGGAAATACTTTGACTTAGCACAGAGTGGTGTATGCTGAACCTTAGTCAGAATGCGGTTTTTGAATCAGCACATAATCACACTCTGGGGTCAAAGTTCACCCCATCACACCATTTCTTTAGTCCATTTTAAATGTAAGGCCAATGCGACCTCTTTTACATTAACTTACTTTTGAGCAAAAATGAATAAAATCATAAATGATTCTGATTATAGTTGACGATCAGAGTCAGATCAGCACAGATGGATATATGCCACAGGTTAGTGAGGATGCTGTTTTTAAACGGCAGCAAATGATGACACCTGTTGTATTTAAAATGATCCTGTGTGTTTTGGCTGTCAAAGACGAACGAGGGCGGGGCAAGTTCGGGCTTATTCCTCTGTACTGTTCCCACCGTTTGCAGGCCAAGGGTGTATGAAGCAGAGATTGTCACAGGTGATTATTTCTTCCCCTGGAGACCTGCTGTAAGGTGTAACTCGCATGTCTGACTTTTTCTGAGCCAGCACGTTTGCTAGCACACACCTGCAGCTTAAAGAAGTCCAGACGCTTTTCTTTCCAGGCTCATTAGACAAACTACACAGTACTTTCTACATACTGACAATGCACAGCACACTGTGGGAATCATAGTTTCTAAGTTCTACATGCTTTGATTTCCAAACACAGGCGTGTCACCAGAACTTGAGGGTCTAAACTCATGTGGTCACAGCAGGTCTAACCCAGCACAGACAGACCTCTCCACTTACCTCTGTTGTTCCTCCTCCAGTCTGAGAACGGCGCTTTCCAGAGAGTCATCTATGATTCTCTGTTAAAGCAAACACACAACAGCTGTATGCCGACACTCACTGTGGTAGTTTTACTGTATCGTAGCAGACAGTGTGTTAGTGGTACTGCAAATACTATTACTTGAGTCTGACCTCGGTGCTGAGCATCTGTGTATGATTATCCTGCAGCCGAAGCTCCAAATGCTGACATCGTTCTCTGTATTCCAACACCTACAATAAAACCACAATCAGTATATTTTCCATCTCCCACTGCATCTACTCCAATTATGAGTACAGCACTACTGTTTGGCCTCACCTTGTTCTGGAGCCTGTGGATCAGCAGGGCCTGCCTGGCCTCCCTCTCTCTCCCCTCCCTTACCTTCTTCTTCCATTCCCTCTGCTCACCCTCTAGTTGCAGAGTGAGAGCAAGTGAGGGAGACAACGACCGCCACAGCTGGTGGGAGGATGGAGAGAGAAAGATGTAAAGGCTTAACTTTGTCTAAAGATCAGCAAAACTCCCCTGCCCCTTCTCACCCTGTCCTTCAGAGCTCTGTTCCTGGATTCTAGCTCATCTTTTTCAGCATGACTCTCTGCCAGCTCCTCCTGCAGCCGACACACCTCCTGATTAAGATGCAGCTTCTCTTCCTGCCAGCCTATCAACAGCTCTTCTTCCATGTTTAGAAGTCCACCTGTCTGCAGTGCACCAGGAGACACACATGACTTTAGCAAATGAGTGAATTAATTACATTTTTTTGGGGGGGGAAAAAAAACAAAAAACACACAAATAAACAAATTTTTTTTGGCAAAAAAAAAAAAAAAAAAAAAAAGGTGCTTTCTTATTCGACCGTGTGTGCGTGCGTGCGCGTGCAATGGGGCAAAGGAGAAAAGGCAGCAAATCTTTTGTGCTGTATTTTGTATGGTCTTCACAGATCTCCATCACCCACTCCTCCTCATGTCTCTGACATAGCTGGAGGGACACAATCAATTCATTCTGTGTAGAACTAGAGTAAACTTACATGTCTCACACAGATTTTATGCAAGTGCACGCAGAGACTGAAGCAGGAAATATGAAAACCGCTGTTGTAAGACCCACCTGCGATTTCAGGTGTTGACGAGCCAGCTGATCCAAACTAGCTATGCTGAACTTACTTCATGGTACAGCCCTCAAAGCTGAGATGCCTCCAAAACTACATACTAACGTCACACGACTGTTTGGCGTGTCCAACCTTGAACTGAAATGAAACACAATCAAGGTAAATTATAAACACACATCGCTGACTTGGCTGATGCAAATAGGGCATTTAAAAGTTACACACAACCATAACAACTTTAGATTAGGGATGTGCACAACTAGTCAACTAATCGTTGCTATTGTCACTACTCGGTGCCAGAAGTTAACTGGTAGTCAGTGCTGGTGCGGTAACAACCCTAACTCTGAATTTGGACCATTCGCTGAACTTGTGCCTTCACATATTCAGGTTTCCGTGCACATGTTGCAAACACCGGCACTGCCGTCTGGCTGCGTGCAGTCTGTTCGGTCTGGGTCGAGAGCTTTCGGCCACATCGTCCTGCAAACCTTGGCTGCACTTCCTAACTGCTGCTGACAGGGTGAGGAAACTGTTTTCTTCTGACTGCCTCTGTTTTATTGAAATGCTTGGCCGTCAATTATTGTTACAATAAAGAAATAACTGAGAAAACACATTTCTTTACATTTGTGCTGAATTTAAATAACCTGCCTGGGGTACCAGGATTAGCAACATCCACGTAGCTTTTGGGAAGCATTATAACGCTCACATCCATATTTGGCGTAGCAGCTGACCGGATGGAGACGTATGTGTACATTGGGTGTCACGATCAACGTACGTCGCTTAACGGTCACCGTGTTTTAAAGGTTATGAAGGACTTTTGAGGCGTTTAATCGTTTTAAGCAGGTTTTATACTTATGCAGCGTTATTTCCAGAGCAAAATAAAGCGGAGGACGTTTTATAACAGAGGTTGGTCTCTCTGCAGGTCTGGCGTGATTTCCTCCTCATCATATGAGCTAGCTACTAACTACCTGACTGTTGAGCAGCATGTTCGTTAACGTAGAAGCGCAGTTTTCCCCTCTGCAGGTAGCTGCTCGGATATAATCCCAGAGTCTGACTAATATGGCTCCAACAATCCGTTTCGTCCTCTGACTACGGGGAGCACACTTCTTCTGCCAGCATGCTAACACCAGGAAACATATATTCAAGAACGTTCGTACCTTAAACTGTTGCCTCGTTCAGAAAATGTCAGAAATAAAACATTAAGAGTGTAAACACAAACTGGTGTTGTCAGCGTATTCAAACCAAGAACCTCACCTCTCACCCGGACATAGACAGTCATGTGATCCCACCGAAACGGAAACTTCCCGCTTTGAGCGACACCTGCTGGCAGGAAATATTTACTAGTGATGATACCACTGATTTCCTTTCCGATCCGATACCAAGTAGTATTCAGGATGGTGTCGACGATACTGATCCGATACCGATACTTTGTACAAAAACTTATTTAATTTATTGTATCTCAAATTATAGCGTCATAATGATTACAGGACATCAGATTACTTGTTCTTATCACTTAATAATGCAGAGTTCATCACATAGAAATAAAAAACTGAAGTTGTGCTATTTGAACACTTTGCCTGCCTGCAGCACTAAAGGACTCCGTGAGAGACGTCTGTCTCGCCCTAGCAGCACCTGTCCCTGTCCTCCTCTTCAGTCTCAACATACGCTCGTCATATTCTGTGATATGATTTACTCTGAGGTGTTTGACAAGGTTAGTGATGTTGCCACAACCATACATGCCAACCCTCCCGATTTTTCCGGGAGAATCCCGAATTTCAGTGCCCCTCCTGAAAATCTCCCGGAGCCACCATTCTCCCGAATTTCTCTTGATTTTCCACCCGGACAACAAAATTGAAAAACCCAGCCAATTCCAGTTTCCAACAATGGCAGCAGCTACTTAGTTTTAATATCACTCTTATTTCTCTTCCTGGGTCGCAAAAAAACTTTAACTTTTCAGGTGAGAATGTAGCTGTGTGAACTTCAAACATCTGAGCCGACCGACACATCGTCTTCAAACCCCCACGGTCTTTCACTACTCAGGTTAAACATGATGTACAAGCCACTTTGATAACTTAAAAAATGTTATTGTTTGGCTTTTTCAGTGTTTTATTTGTTCGTGAGTGTCATGTTCGGAGGCAATAAGACGCAGGGTTCTCAAGCACGAACCACTTTTTATTGAATTGTAGCAGCAGTGTACGTGGCTACATCAATTTCTGGAAAAACACATATACACCGGTCCTCTAGCGACCTCTAGTGGCTGCCCTCATGGTAGCCTTACTAGGAAAACATAAACAGATTTCACAACATCTCCCCTTTTAACAAAGGTACTTTAAACATAAAACAGTGTTGTCAGAACGCAGGACATCACAGGGGTAGACTACCCTCAGTCCTGATAAGGGATTATTCTGCCCTTAGAACATAGAAAGGAGATAGTCCTCAGTCTCTGAATCTGAGAGGTACTTTAATTTCCCGCCCCCTGGAAGTCACTCTCACAGGTGTGGTAGGGTGGAGAGGAGACCCCGGGACAGGGATTGGCAATGTCTGCCTTACTGGTGGTTCTTGGGAAGCGGCCGCCCCTTTAGTTGGAGTAGTCGGTGTAGCTGGAACAGTGCTCTGCTGCTGCTCCTCAGGATCAGCGGTGCCTGGGACAGGCTGAAGGTGTCGTCTGTTGCGGCGAGTCACGTTCCCATTCGCCATCTCCACCAAGTAGGATCTTGGCTCCTTAGACTTACTGATGACCTTGGCTGGAGTCGTCCACCCCTTTTCCCCGTCAAGCTTCACTACAACGTCCTGGCCTGGGAGAAGCTCAGGAAGTGGACGAGCTGAATGTCTGCGGTTGTAGAAGAATCTGTAAGAGTCCTTAGCTGCAGCATCTCTTTGGCACACTGTGTCCCTATCGACTGGACTGGGCAGCAATGTCTTTTCGAGTACTGGGACGGTGGTGCGGATTTGACGTCCTGTCATAAGTTGAGCTGGGCTTGCACCGGTGGCTGCAATTGGTGTAGAGCGGTAACTCATTAAGGCTAAGCAGGGGTCAGGCTGTTTGAGAATGTACTTGGCCGTTTGGACAGCTCTTTCAGCAGCTCCATTTGACTGGGGGTAATGAGGGCTTGACGTAGTGTGGGTGAAGCCATAACTCAGTTTGAAGTCTTGGAACTCTGATGATGTGAACTGCGTCCCATTATCACTGACCAGTTCTAACGGGATGCCCCATCTAACGAACATGTGTTTAAGCTTGTTAATGACCTGTCTGCTGGTTGTTGTAGTGAGGGAAGCAATCTCAAACCCGCTACATCCAAGGCATGGGTCATGTACGTCTACAAACTGACCATAAGCCCTTGGTGCCTTTGATCAACTCATACGACCTTGATAAAACGCCACTGAGATGTCAGAGATTGCTGATGCGACTGATGCGATTCAATGTCACTGCTGAGCATGTTCCCGGTAAACAGTTAGTGGTGGCGGACGCACTCTCCAGACATCCACTGCACGGATGCTACCCGTCCGAGACAGACAGCCATGTCAAGGCATATGTGAGCAACGTAGTGACAAGCAAACCTATCAAGTCACATAAGTTGGAGGAAATTCGTAGAGCTACACAGAGGGACCCAGAGCTTCAAAAAGCAATCATCTTCATCAGACAAGGGTGGCCTCGGAGAATGGCAAAGAGCTCACCACTGCAAGGCTTTTATGCAGCCAGAAGCCACCTTTCAGAATCAGATGGTCTAGTGCTCTACCACGATCGCATCGTAATTCCCACAGCACTTAGACCCAGTGTCCTTGACCAATTACATGAAGGCCACCAAGGACTAACTAAATGTAGAGAGCGCGCAAGATCAACAGTGTGGTGGCCCAACATTGGACTTCAAATAACACATAAGGTGAGGTCATGCAACTTTTGCAGAGAGCACAAGCCTACACAGCGACGGGAACCTCTCGTGACTACTCCTCTGCCCAATGGCCCCTGGCAAAAGATTGCAGCTGATCTTTGCGAGCTTGAGGGTAAGAACTTTCTTGTCGTTGTTGACTATTTTTCAAGAGACA